GGGAATAAACACAAAGAGGGACGAGGGCTCATGAATACACAGAGGGGCACACAGGGGGTAAGAGTCACGAAGGGAAAACACTTAGGGAACAACACAACAGGGCAACTCAGGAAACATGGCCTAAATAAGGAACGAAATACAAAAATACAAGAAACTAAGAATACTGGACCCACATGGCCCAGGACCATGACACATTGGGTTTTTTCTGTGTGGACAAGAGGGTTACTTTCCTGCACCATCTGTTAAACCTCTCCCTGAGTCATGCCACCATGCCCACCTCTCTTAACCCTTTAAGACCTACCATAGATCCAAGTCCACCAGAGCTTCTCTTCATATTTTTACATGCTGTAGTGCCATTTTTGGGAGCGTTTCAAGTTGCTATACGTCAATACAACAAATTTTAATAATATGTACGCATTAAGTGTACAATAACTGCATAAATTGCATATTTATTACACATATTTCTAGTTAACAATTAAACTGTACATGCAAAAAAGTTGCACAAAATAGTTTCCAACCACAGGATATTTATTTTAAGTGTCTTCATAATTCTATTTTTATATACACCAATTTTTATATACTGCAGGAAAAACCAAAATAAATATTACAATGCAACTTTGCAAAAACAACTCAGCATGTGCATCAAAATGAACAATTTCCAACAGTGTAATTTGAGTTCTAAGCCTCCCAGAAACTATACAGAAAGGCATAAACTCAAACATGAATTTTAGAAACACCAGTATATCTATAGAAAAAAACTACACTTTCTGCAAAAATGACATCACTTCTGGTTTTGGGCAGGTAATGGCGGACATCAGATCTATTCCAACGTAGGAAGTGTTATGAACAGCTGATCAGATAGGCAAAGCATGTTTCTGGAATATCATGTTTTTATTGATGCAAATGCTTTTTATGCAATTTTTGCAAAGCTATATGTGGAAGGAAACCGTGACCTTGGACAAGCTGAATACGTAAGCTGTAATTACAATTCCTCCACTTTCATATGCAAAAAATAACAATAATAATTGCGTTAGCTTATGTGGTTGGAATTCTACCGGACTTTAAAAATACAGTGGTCCCTTTTTTATCCCGGGAGTTACGTTTTAAGAATAACCCACGATAGGTGAAATCCGCAAAGTAGCCAACTTTATTTTTTACAATAATTTAAGGCTGTAAAACCCCTCACTACACATTTTCACACTTTGCTCTCTTGTTTAAACTGTCAAAGTTCAAACCTTCGTGGAAAAATAAGTCCAGTATTATAGAATGAAACCAAAGATCAAACCCTGTTTTCATGGGAATAGAGCAGCTGCCTGAGAATCCAACATTAATGGATCAATACTGAATCAATGGTACGGAAGTAAAGGAACGAGCTGAGTAATGTTTGACTTATCTGACTGTTTTGTTTCGCTTAATGCGCCTTATAATCTGAAAAATACAGAAACTTCTACCTTCCTGTCCAGAAGTCCAGCTTTTTGTGTGATGTAGCATCTTCCTCTGCCTTTTGGCTGCTACTGCAGGAGCCTTTGAGCAGAACATTGTGTTTGTTAGAGAAAACTTACAAACATACAGTACAGCACTTCAGAGTCACACTGCTAGCGATTTATGTATGTAGGAGATTTATGTAAATTTGACAAGCTGAATGCATTCTGTACGGCACAGGAGACACGGCACGGAGGAGATTCATTGACAATGGTCTACAGCCAATCAGGACGCAGAACAAAATGCACTGTATTGAAGAGAAAAAAAAGAGAGAGAAAACATGCAAAATTGCACAAAAAAAATCAGTGAAACAGTGAGGCCGCGAAGGGTATAACGGTGAAAGGGCGTTATAGCGAGGGACCTCTGTAATTACACAAAACAGAATGTGCCCGCTCCGACTGACCATAAAGGGTTAAGGCCTCCACCATCATCGCCATCCCCCAAAAGGCTGGAATAGACACCCTCAATGGCTACAGACCTATAACCCTCACATGTGTAGTCATGAGGTGTTTTAAGTGGATAGTTTCAGCACATCAGAGACTGTCTACTAGGGGGAGGATGCTGGGTACAATTAGAATATCTAAACATAAAGTGAGGGTGTGCTGGGAGGATCTGGCAGAGGGTCCAGTCCACAAGATCTTTAATTCCTGGATCTTGCAAAGCTTGAGGGAAGCTGAGTGGACCACACCTTCATTGTTGAAGCTGTGTACGGAGCTGTGGCCACATGGCTGAATATAAAGAAATGAAGATCTTTTCCATATCAATGTATTTTGATTCCATAGGATTAGGATAATCATTGATTATGAATTTAACCACCTATTCCTGTTTCAGCAGTGCAATATGTAAGAAAACCTTCTCATAACTTACGATATTGTGTCTGTTTTGTCAGCTTTGCTTGTTTTTTGTAACCTGCTGGTCACAACAAAGTTGAAACAGTGACAAGCTGTTTCATGACTAGCTGTGGCCTATTGCTGAGTCCAGGCATGGAAGTCGGGGTTGCTGACTGTGAACTTTCATTATGCAGCCCAAAGAGGTCACAGTGATGTGAAGGAGGCCATTATAAAAAGCAGAACACTGCTGTCACGCCAGGAACTGCAGGAGTGGACGACGTTTGGATCGTTGGTAACACTTTTATGAACTTTTATACCTATTTACACCGATGTGGAATACGCAAAATAAAACTGCATGTGTGACTCTAAAGTTTTCTGTAATGTGTTTATATTATTCTGTTTCTTAGCATGTGGCTAAAGTGCAACACTAAATGGATCAGCAGTGAGCTGGTGGATGTTCAGAGTTGGTGTCCACATAAATATGGACAACACATTCTACAACATCAGGAAAAAGCTGGAGCAGTGTTTCAGAAAGTCTGTATGAAGTTTGCAGGGTGTGTCTTCATGGATGGGTCCTCTGAGGGGGGTCATTACCGTCCTCAGCCCTCTGAGACCAGAGCTGAGGTCCGCTCCGGCTGATTGGTCTCTCTGGTCAAAAGCACTCACAGATAGTTGCATCAGAGGGAGTTGGAGGAAACTGTGGCTAATGAGGAGACACCTCAGGGACAGAAATGTTTACATGCACAGGTGACCTTTAATCTACCGGTTACAGTGATGATGTAACTCTTACAGCATCAGCAGCCTCTGCAGGTTTACTTCAACAGAAAAGTTCTCTCACTTTGTTCAAAGTCTTAAATTCATCTTTTGTGGAAATAACTAAAAGTCAGCTCTCGAACAAGACGGCACTGATCCCAGCGCCACGTTAGCCTCCTAACACACAGCAGGCCTGAGGGCCACTGAGGGTTTAGAGTCAGGCTGTCACATGATTAACTGCACGCTGAGACAAGAAGAAAAAGGCCATAAACTCGTCGCTCGCACTAAAAACAAAACCTTTTAAATATGCATTTTTATTAAAGGCTGCATTTGTGTCGTAGAAATTTCACTCCCTTCAGAGAACACTGGACCGTCATCGCTGCCAAACGTGAACCCATGTCTGAACCTGGCCTTCAGTTCATTTAAGCATTTCTAATGAAGTGCTGCAAAATTCAAAAAGAGAAAGTTGAGCCAGAAGGTTTTCCCAGAATGCACTTTGTGAACTTTCCTGCAGTGAATGATCAAAAACAGATCTGCCACCAAGTTCCTGCTGCTCCACATCACAGACATGAAATGGACGCAGGTTGAGACTGATAGACCATCACACGGATCTGGAATGATCCACATGCAGAATGACCCCACGGTCAGCTGATCCTGTTAAGCAGAAATGTTTAAGGTGGCAAAAATGATGCAAACTCAAACTTATGAAGGTATTGTCTTCTACTTTTAAAAAAAAAAAAATTGTCAGAAGGTTCAATTAAAAACTGCAGTTTCCAAAAAGTTCAATTTTCTGGCAATTATTTCATAGTTCAGACTTTACAGGGTTAACAACCTGCAGAACAGCAAGATCCTGTTGGGGTTAGGTCAGCATAACTTTTAAGGACTTGAACAGAAAGCATCTGGACTTGTTTGATTTCACAGTGGACATAAACGACCTCACTCAGAACTGACAGAAGTCATCTATGTTCACTACGAATGACCATCTTTGAACAAAGGGGGGCTTACAACTCCGATTTATTCTGGGATCCTTCCCAGATGCCTTAATGTCCACTCACATCTTGTCAGTCTCACAATGGTTTCAGCCCAAACCTCTGCTGGTAATGACCCACAACCTTTTTCACAATGGACGGAGGGATTGGAGAGCAACTTCGGGTTACTACCTTGCCCAGGGATATTTGGCATACATACTAGGGGGATTGAACCACCAACCTTGCGATTAGTAGGTGACCGGCTGTACCTCCTGAGCTACAGCCAGTCACCTGTACAGCACCCCATGTGACTCAGAGCGGCCAGCCTGGGACAGAACTTTGCCACATGGCTTCGCCTCTCTCTCTGTCTTCACTGCACTGTCTAACAAAGGCCAAAAATAAACTTTGAAAAGTCCAGTCGCTTTTCTTTCCAAGCTCCTCAGACAACCAGCACCTGGATGGCCTACACAGAGATGTCAAATTAACTTTTAACCCTTTTTACTGAATTTTTCCACGTTGGTCCGGCTGTATGGAAAGTGCAGCTGTGATGCATGTATGAGCTAAAATCTTCTGTTTGTGGTTTCTGAAATGTGCTGTGTGCTGGATGAGGTAAAGACTCTGGTGTGTCATTTCACTCAGAATCTCTCAACAAAGCGACGGCAGACTGTGCCTCTGTCGGAAGAACTGTAATAACTGTGTAAGAAACCTATTGTGATTCATGCTGCAGACACAGTATTGGAGTCTGAATCAAAACAGCCTTTTAGGATGTGACTGTAGCTGTAAGATTCATGAGCAACCAGAGGAGTAAGATGGCTTTCAGAGGCTGCTGGTTTGAATCTGCACAGAAGAGTTTACACGAGTCAGAGGCAGCCATGTATTTACATGGAATAATATGCAATAATAATAATAATATACAATATTCACCACAGTGTTCAGAGCAGACATGATGATGATTTTGCTTCTGCAGTTATCTCCTTTTGTGAGCAAACAGACGTTTGCGGATGTTGGACATGTTCAGTCCGTACAGTACGGGGTTAAAGAGCGGCTGGCAGGTTAGAAAGTACAGCGATAAAACAATGTGCACCATGCTGTGCACACTGCTCAGACTGAACCTGCTCTGGATCACTTCAAAGCAAACACCAAAAGAGAAGTTGAGCAGAGAAGCGAGGTGAGGCGTGCAGGTGCTGACGGCTTTCTGTCGGGTTTGTTTGGATCCAGAAAAACAGACTTTCAGGATCCTCACATACGAGCAAAGGATTAAGATAACTGGAACAAAGACTGTGAGAGCTGTGATAAAAAGACCATAAATGTTATTTGCTGTGGTTTCAGAGCAGGCCAGTTTCACAATGGAGTAGTTCAAACAGTAAACCTTGTTAATGACGTTCCCACAGAGCTCCAGAGGAGCGATCAGTAAGATCAAAGTAAGAATGGTAAGAAAAGAGTATAACCAGGAAAGTGCAATCAGCAAGACAACCGTTGCAGGCGTCATACGTGTGTGATATTGCAGAGGACAGCAGATGGCGAGGTATCTGTCGTAAGACATGACGGCTAAGATGCAAAACTCAACACAGACATAAGAAAACACACAGAAGATCTGCAGGAAGCAGAGAGGAGCAGAAACAGTGTGAACATCAGAGAGGATCTGAAGCAGGAGGAGTGGAAACAGCCCTGTACTACCATACAGCTCATTCACAAACAGGCTGCACAGAAACATGTACATAGGTTCATGTAAGCTTCTGTTCACACAGATAACCACAATCAGCAGGACATTGGCGCAAAGAATCAATAAGTATAAAGACATAACAACCGTGAAACAGAAATATTTCAAAGTACTGGTGTCGAAGTAAGCAGCAAGTGTGAAGTATGAAACCTTTGAGGAGTTTATGATGAGCTGTATTTTGTTCCCCTGCGTTGTGTCTTCACTGTGATCCTGCAAACACACAATTTCACATTTTAGGCGTTTCTCATCATAAGCCATCATCACATGATCAGAGCAGGAAAAACACGTTTCTCTCTTTATGTTAATGAACACAGATGTGCTACACACATCTGTCAAAGTATCTACTTAAAAGTATTCTCTACACAAACGTACCATTGTGTGTTTGTGAAGCTTTCCCCTACTGCTGCCACGCTCACTGAAACTTTCCGTCACTAAAGCTGGAGCTTTGCTGCGGATCGCTGACTGATGCAACAAATCAGCAGAAAAACACCTGACAAAGACCGCCTACCTGTTCAGGGAAATGATGTCAGTCTTTGGCCTTATGAACAGCACAGTCTGCAGAGACCATGAAATACAAACTTTCCTGATCCTGGACACTAAACCACCAGAACAACCTCCTCTGCAGCACCCTGGTCTCATCACTAACTGTTCTCAGGGAAGTTTGAAGGTTTCATGGGTTTAAGAAGTTGTTAGTGGACACAGGTAGCTGCATTCTGACCACAGTTGTTGAATTAATCAGTGAGAGTATGGAAGGACTCAGCAATTCCTGATCAGGGTGGATGTGAGGGAGTGAACAAAAAAAAGTGAAAACTTTTTAAGGACAAATATACTTGCCATTGTAAAATGTGTGCATGGGTGAAGAAGGGTGGAGGAGGTGGGGAGGCAGATTGACCTGTTGGGGGGAGAGGTGGGGGCCGAGTCTGACACTAATAAGTTTTCGTTTGAAAACGCATCATTTTCTCTCCAAACTGAGATGGCGTCTTCGGTCAAGGAAAACGGAGCTTTTTGAAAACGCTCTCCAAAGTGGATACATTTGAAAATGCCGTTTTCGTGTCGCCTCGTGGACTGCAAAAAACCGAAGGTTTTCAAAAACGATAATGCATTTTAGTCATGTGATGCAGTCATGTGACCTTTACGACTAAGATGGCAGATGGCATTGTCACGAAGTGGGATGACTCAAGCGCAGACGAGGCAGCTAGAATACAGTTCCGTTTACTATACAACACCAGGTGCAAATATATACAAGTGAGAGGGCGGGGGAATCCAGGGCACAGGGAAATCCGGGAAAGGAGCTCTTCACACACACGAGGGACTTCACAAAAACACAGCACACCAGCAGCCCGTGTGTATTTCTTGTATATGTTTTTCCATATGTTATGGTGGTTTTCTCTCCCTTTTTGTCCTTTCTCCCTGGGTGCTCCCGGATGTTTTGGGGTCGCTGAGGGGACTGCGACCCGGAAGTGTTCCCGCACTGGGGACTGCCGCACCTGCCGCCCATTAGCCCTCACCAGCTGCAGCTGATGGCTTCATG